CGTCGCCGACGTCGGCCACGACCTGCGCGGCGAAGAGTGCGTCGACGGTCTGGTTGGCCTGCAGAGCGGCTCGCTCGCGCTCGAGCTCCAGCTCGAGCTGGCGCACGCGGTCCTCCTTCACTCGCTCGCGCTGCAGACGCTCGCGCTCGTCGCGCTCCCGCTTGACCTGCTGGCGCTTGGCCTCGAGGTAGTCGAGGTAGTCGCCCAGGAACCGGCGCACCTCGTCCAGCGAGCGGGTTTCCACGTGCGCTCGGATGTTCTCCACGTCTGCACCAAACGGTTGTCAACACACACACACACACCCACACACACACGCACGACCACACACACACACACACACACACAACACGCACGCACCGTCGGCGCCAAAGAGTTCGTAGCCCTCGAAGAAGCGCTTCTGTTCGTCCTTGGACCACTTAACGTCTGCGGGAGGACTGGTCGCCGGCGCGGGGATCGGCTGATTCCCGTTAAGCCGCACTGCCGCGGCCGCCGGCAGATCCGCAGTCTGCTGCGGCTGCGGCTGTGGTTGTGGCTGTGGCTGTGGCTGTGGCTGCGGCTGCATCTGGTGGACCTGGAGCACTGGCGACGTGGGCGGCGACGTTTGTATAATATGCTGCGCCAGTTGCTGCGTCTATTGCAGCCAACAGATATGTTGGCTTTAACGTCATACACTCGGGTATGTAAAAGAAATATTCAAGAGAATTGAATATTATGAAAAATCCTTGCACCTTGGCGAGTTGGATGATTTGGGCGCGGACGGTATCGGGGGTGGAGGAGCCGGTGAGGATCGCGTCGGTGAAGTGCCGTCGGGTGTTCGCGCTCTGAGCCGCCTTGGGGCCGCAGTGCCGCTCCAGCAGCCCCACAACGAAACCCTCCACTACTCGTGTGTGCGCCAGGGTGAGAAACATCAGCACAGGTGCAAACAGACCATAGTCCATACCCTGGTCTGCACATCACGGTGTTGGTCTTACCTTTAGCTTTGTCCATCTCTCGTGGGTGTTGCAGGTTTGTTTTGCCCCGCTTCTTTTTCGTTTGCGTGTTCTTTTTTCCTCCATTTCTTAACATTTTTCATTGCCCTGGAAAGAAAACCAAAAGGAAACTACTTCTTTCCTAATTTGCACTGACCCTGTCGAAGTTGAGATTTCAGTATTTGCGGGCCAATCTGCACGTGTTTCGCAAGCTGGCTGGGCCATAGAAGGAGGCCACCAGGCCCTCGACCTGTCCTTTATGAAACATCAGACCACACTTTTCCAGCGTGAGACAACCGACTTTCCGCATCACCTCGCCTTCTGGTTTGCTTTCTATTTTATGGTCTTGGAACGGTCGATAAGTGAAAGACAGATCACGGCCTAGACCGAGGTGCTTGCCCAGGAACCGGCACGGACAGCTTAGTAGTGGCCAGGGGGATACTGGCCTGGAGTATTGAAGCCACCGGGGTACGGCGGATAGCCCTGCTGAGGCGGATATCCACCAGCGGCCGCCGGCGGGTAGTAGCCCTGCTGCGGCGGATAGCCCTGCTGCGGCGGATAGCCACCACCGGGTGCCGGCGGAAAGCCACCGAAGGCAGGTGCATGCTGAGGCCACTGAGGAGGATAGCCAGCGGGCGCCGGAGGGTAGTAGCTCTGCTGCGGCTGCTGAGACGGCTGAGGATAGCCACCGATCCCAGGCGCAGGGCACTGCGTCGGCTGCGACTGGGGGCAGTGCGGGGCCTGGTGGCAGGTGGCCACCGGAATGATGTGCCACTTCTCCCAAATGCTGGCGGCCGAGCGATCGGCCACCACCCTGTGGTCCTGCTCGGCGCACACGTACTTGTCGTGGTGCGAGCGCAAGGCGACCTGTGCGGCAGGCGTTGACACGACGACGAATTAGATGCTCCGCGCCCGCATGTCAAAACACAATAAAACTGTACCTGTGGGCCGTGGTGCTCAACGCGGAAGTGCTCCCACTCTGCCGGGCTGGAGCGGTCGGCCACCAGCCTGCCCGACGGCTATAGATGAACGCATAAACAGAAAAATGAGGTTTAGACTGAGGGGTGGCAACGAACAACAACTGAGACAGCAGATCAGGTTGTTGCGAACCCAATTTGTAAAACAATGGATCACTTTGGAGGGTCTGGGCCAACAGACAAAAGAGAGGAAGGGGGGTGAGATACCTCGGCACAGAGGTATTTGCCATGGAAGGACTGGAAGGTGGCCTGGCCGCAGTGGGTGGTGCGCATGGTCCACGTCTCCCACTCTGCGCAGTCGGTCCTGTCGGCCACTACATGGCCAGAAGGCTCGGCGCAAAGGAAGCGGCCGTGATATGACTTCAAGTACACCTTCGACTCATGCATGGTTACACACGTCGTGATGTGTTAGAAGAAGGCTTTGCAGAACCTTTGAAGGTGTGGTGGTTTCGTGAGCTTATATAAAAGGTTTTTTCCCATACAAACACCATGTACTTTTTTTACTTACCAAACCCACAGCCACCTCGCATGCTTTGTTTTCGAAACCTTTTTGCGAAACAAATTTTCCCTATGGTGAAATTGCAACACCACTTTATTTTGAGCTAATCGGCGCACGTTGCGTCGCAGCTTCAAGGCTGAGGCTTGAAGATCTGCTGTTGCTGCTGCTGCATCTGGCACCTGGCCGAGCTCTGATAGCTGGCCTGGGAGGCCGAACCGACGTTGGTGCTGCGCTGGACCTGGTGCGCCTGCATCTGGTTGGTCAGCATCTTGCTGCCGCCCGCGGCCCACGACCCATGCGACACCAGGCCGCCCTCGCACCGGGCCAGATCGCTCACCAGGCTCTGGCAGAACTCGTCGGCCCGCGACACCGACTCCCTGATCCGATCGCTGGCCCGTTTGATGATCGCCCGCGCCCGTTCCATGTCGCCGCCGCGCGCGACCTCGTTGGCCGCCTCCATGGCCTCGGCCGCCAGCCACCGGTTGAGCTGCCTGTCGACAGCAACGTCACGGGCCTCGTCGTGGTGGTGGTGGTCCGCGGCTGGCCGCCTGATGATCGTGGCCGAGTGCTCCGCCCTGGCGCCCGACCGACCCGTGATCACGTTCGTGTAGGTTACCGTCGTCTTCAGCACCGGCCACTCCGGAGTGTCGGCCTCGACGTCGGTTGTCGCGCCGGCGATCGACACATCAACGAGAATGTCGCGCCGCTCCTCGCTCTGGATGTCGCCCAGGGCCACCTCGTACACTCGGCCGGGCTCGACCTCGGTCGTCTTGAACCGGGTCAGTATGCGGTTGATCCTGACCTGCTCGCCGCCACCGATGGCCTCGAAGGTGACCCTGATGTCCTGACCGACGACGCTGAGCAGGCCGCCCAGGCAGTCGGCGTAGGCCTCGGCGATGGAGGGGGTCGAGTTGATGTAGTAGTACATGCCCTGGCCGTGGTCGGCGATCTTCTTGAGCAGCGTCGCGTCGTGGTCGGTCCCGAACCCGAACGTGTTGATGGTGCACGGCAGCGGCATGTCCTCGCTGGCGGTCGACCTCTTCTTCTCCTCCGCCGGCGGCGGGGTCGACGGCTTCTTCAGCTGCTCTCCGCTCGCCGCCGGGCTGAGTCCGCCGAAGTCCGCCGGGTTCTGGGCCTGGGCCACCGAGGGCAGCGGCACGGGCATCGCCCAGTACTGCTGCAGCTGTTGCGGATGAGGTGGTTGCTGCTGCAGCTGTTGCGGACGAGGTGGTTGCTGCTGCTGCTGCTGCTGCTGCTGTGGTTGGGGCTGATGAGGCGGCAATTGTTGATACTGCTGCTGGGGCGGTAGTTGTTGTTGAAGTAGAGACTGTTGCTGCTGGAGGAGCTGTTGTTGAAGTAGTTGCTGCTGCTGTTGCTGAAGGAGCTGTTGTTGAAGCAGCTGCTGCTGCGGCAGGAAGGGGTGTTGTGGCCTCTGCATGGGGGGCAGCGGCGCTGGGGGCTGAAAGGGGGGCAGGAGTCCGGCCGCGTAGGGAGTCCAGCCGCATCGAGGGAGCACGTTGGGCTGGAAGGCGAGGCGGGCGTAGTCGGCGTTGATGGTGGCCTTGATGATCTCCTCCGCCCGCATATAGCCCACGTTAGCCTGGCCGTCCGTGAACAGCAGCACCGACGCCACCTCGTTCTTCTTCTCCCCGTCCCGTCGACGCATCTGGTCGACCCCCTCTACGAGGCCGCCGCACAGGTTGGTCGAGCCGGCCCCGACGATGGACTTGACCGCGGCGATGGCCGCCTTGCCCTCCGCCGTCATGGGCCGCAGGGGGAAATGGTTTGTGACAACGTCGTCGTAGGTCACTACGCCCAGACGATCGTCGCTTCGCAGGTTCGCGACGACGAACTCGACGGTGGCCTTGGCCATCTCGAGCCGCTGGCCCGCCATTGAGCCGCTACGGTCGATCACGCAGACCATGTCCACCGCGGCCCGCTCCTCGGCCCGGTACTCGGGAGCCGCGATCGAGGCCATCACCAGGAACGACGACCGCTTGTCCGCTGCCCCCACCCCCCTCAACTCTGGCGTGCAGACTACCTTGAGCGCCTGGCTCTCCTCCTTCTTCTTACTATCACACTGCATGTTGGACGACCAATATAAAACAAAATTTGGTTTGGTTGGTTGGTAGGTGGTGAGGAGGTAAGGAAGTCAAGAAGACAATGGTTCGCTTCTCCTCTTGCTCCAGCTTTTATGGCGGGCGTTGGGTACCGTGCACTGAAATGATTCTGGGGTCTGTGTTGCCGCTTTTTACCTTTCGATGGACGTGGCACGCTGACGTGGCAGCAGCACATTGGGGTTCCTCCCTTGTGGCTCACCGGCTGGGGTGGTCTCAATGTTGGTCGTCGTCCTCGTGCTCCGCTTGGTCGTCGTCAAGGCCTTCACCGTCCGTCGTACCCAAGATCAGGGGAGCGAACACGGCCTGCCAGGCGCCCTCCCAGCTGTCGTCCCACCGCTCGGGCTCCTCGGCCGTCACGCGCGCCAGCTCGTCCTTGTTCGGGAACTGACGGAACAGTTGCTATTGTGTCGTTGGTCGTTGGTCGTGCCGTGTCGTGTCAGTCTCGTGATTGTAATGCGTTATGGAGTGGCGAAGGTACGTAGATCTGCTGGCCCAGCTGCTTGCTCGAATCAAAGAGGAGTCCGTTCTCCTGGTGCTTGACCAGCTCGTCCACGCTGCAGTCCGCGCGTTAGACTCCAGATAAAAACATAATAAACACACAAAGAACAATAACACGTAAATGAATATACATTGAGGTGCGCGATTGAGGTGCGCACCAGGCGAATTTGTAGGCGCAGACGGGCATGCTACATCCGAACATGTCGACGACCTTCATCGGGAGGTCCATCCCCGACGACGACGTGTGGAGCGAGATGCCCAAGTCGCACACGCCTGGAAACACAGAGCACCCGGGTGAGACGACCGAGTCGTCGGCCGAATACCACACACACACGACGCGGCGCGTACCAAGGAACTTGGGGTAGTTCTCGGCGGTGAGCCACATGGTGATGACCTGCGTGTGGTTCCAGCTCTTCTGCTTGATCAGGTCTAGATAGTACTCCTTCTGCGGTCCTTTGCCTGCACGACGACGGTCGATCGGTCGGCGGACCCGAGCAAAGAGCGAAGAGCGAAGGGCGAAGAGCGAAGAGCGAAGAGCGAAGAGCGAAGAGCGAAGAGCGAAGAGCGAAAGCGAAGAGCGAACACCGCACCGGTAATGACGAAGATGATGTGGGGGAAGGAGTGGTCTTTCCTCTCTTCGATGATCCGCTCGTACTCATCGATGGCTGCCAGCAGGATGGAGAAGTCCTCGTCCGGCGTCCAGCTCGTCGAGCTCACGATCAGCGCAGGCCTGTCCTCTGCGTTGCGCCCGTGCCGTGCATTAGAATAGTATAGTATAGTATAGTACTACGAGTGAGGCCCAGGACTCGAGTGTACCTCGCCAGTAGTACTTGGTGAAGGTGATGGGCTGGCCCTCCTTCTCCTTGCCCTTTTCCTGCTTGTGGGTGAAGAGGGTGTCCGTTGACGAGAGCTTCCTGTTCAGCTTCTCGGCGCACGGCTTGAACGACTTCTTGAGGTCGCGCGAGGCGAGCAGCTGAACAAGAGACAAGAACACATGTTTGTAATTCAGTACAGTTACAAGATGGCGGCAGCCAAAGGTCGTCGGGTGCGGTGGGTGCGCGGTACCTCGTGCGCCTCGGCCACGCTTAGTCGCTTGAAGAAGGCAGGCGGCCGATCGTACAGCACATGTGCACTATGCCATCATGGCTCTATCGATTTAGTGTGTACAACTTCATACATGTTATACGTATTTAAAGAAACATATTGTTTTCTATATTATGACACTGTGTATGATGGATGGGTATTAAGAGGAGAGAGGGGAATGTACCTAATGCCCCAGTTGTGTTCGAGTTCGCTCTGCATGGCCGCCGACACGCACAGGTGGGCGTCCCCTCTTCGGCCGAAGAAGTGTTCGTACCATCGATGGATCTTGACGAGAGGGCTCCCTTGCCCCAGGTTGATCGCCAGAATGCTGCAGGACGAAAAAATAACCGATCAACATGCTGTGCTACTACACACGACACACACGACACCCACACACCACCGCACACGACACACACGACACACACACGACGCACCTGTAGCCAAAATTGTGCCAATCGATTACAAGCTTGGCGCCGCGAAGCTTGCACACGATGTAGACGATGACCATCGAGGGAATGGCCGGTGGGTTCTGGTGGGATTGGAGAGAGAGAGAGAGAGAGTGAGCGCTTGAGGCCACGGCCATGTGACCACGAAATCGTTGTACCTGCATGAGGATGAGAGAGGGCTTGCGAATGCCAAAGAGGAGCACCCAGAACAGCTGCAGTGTGAGCACGAGCAGCTTGAGGAAGGCGTAGACGACGAAGAGTGGTCGTGGAAACCTGGAGTCACGTAGAGGCACAACACAACACAACACGAACGTCATTATATGTGGCACACTTGGACTCATGGCTTCATCATTCGCCCACGGCAGCACCAGGTGCGTACCTCCAAGGAAACTGCCATATGCGATGTTGCGTGATGTTGGGGTGGTGCTCCACCTCGTCCCGCGCTGGCTCACCTGATGGGGAGTAGAAAATGAATTAAATCAAATGAATGTGTGTAGAATGGGTGCCGTCGTGTAGTGAGCGTGGCAAACCTTCGTAGCCCACGAAGTCCACGTGTACGCCCTTCTCGGCGAACGAGTAGGTGTGGTATTGCATGCGCGGGCTGCGCCCGATGTCCCCCAACACGAGCACGGCCACACTCGCCTGCTCTGCCCCATCTGCTCGTTCCTGCTCCATATGTTCCCGCAGCACATCGTCCGCGTAGGGCGATTCGCTACGCATCTTGCCCTTGACTCAATTCTGTCTTCTGCGATCCGCTCTTGCACAAAAAAATAAAAAACAAGGAAATGATGACGCATCTTTTTCCATTGCCATGGAAAAATAAGGAAATGATGACAGTGAAATTTTCTCGAAACTGCCACGAAACGTTGGGTCAGGCACAAGTCCCACGGTTTTTTTGATTTTGCACATGCATTGGACAGGTCTCAACATGGCAGTGAAGATGATGCTCAGGTGCTTGCAGCTTAAGTGTGTATGCAAGCACCCATCTCTTGAAGGCCCATGCCAACTGATCGTTTCGACCGCCAGCAACTTTCAGCTTCAATGAACTGCTCCCCTTTGGCCGCCCTACTAAACCAAACAAAATCCTGGCATTTGTCCTTCAGGAAGAGGTACTTTGCAGAAAACCTCTTTTCAGTCCTTTACTGTTTCAAGCCTGGCGTCGGTTCGACAGCTTTTTTTTTTTGTTTCTTGTGAGGATCACGCAACTCATCCCCCACGGTTTCCCTCACCACCGCGATGGCAACCCTCCATCCTCCCTTCCCTCCATTATCATTATGGTCTATGCTAGTGTTAGTAGTAGTGTTGTCTATCTTTGGCCAGATTGCGCCTGCCCAAGGTCAGTCCGCTACGCCCAGCCCGTCAGCCTCGCCGCTGGCCTGCGGGGTGCGGGAGTTGGCCAACACCCTGGGCGTGGAATTTTCCAACTATCTTTGGTTCTACCCCCACCTGCATCGCTTCCGCGTCCAACAGCCCAACTGCCTCATCACCGCCATCACCTTCAAGCTCCAAAACTATGCCCGTACGGATCATTCCTCTCTGATTTGATTTGATTTGGAACTTATATCAACTCTGATCGGTTCGTCACATCATCGTCGTCATCGACATTGGGCAGTCCTTACTTCAGCTGAGCTTCGCTACCACGACAACGTCCCGAGTGGCTTTGAAGACGGCTCCATCGGGAAGCCCGGCGAGCTGGTGCCCCAGGGCGACCAGTTCCACAACGTGCCCGTCGACAACGGGGACGGCACCTACACCTTCTTCACCACCGCCCAGCCCGGAATCTCCCTGCCCTCGCAGGACCTATACTGGCTCGTGCTCTCGTTCTCCGATTTCGCTACCGGTAGCTTAATGGGGGTGGGCTGGTCGGTGCAGTCTACCGACGACATCACCTTCGAAGTGATGTACTACAACCAGGGGGGGTACAAGCTCCTCGGTGGTCGCACGCCCATGCTCAAGCTGCACGGATGCGCAGACAGGCGCACTCCCTCGCCCACTCCCTCGGCCAGTCCTTCCCGGGTGTCGACCACGCCGTCCGCGCCGCCCACGCCCAGCGTGTCGGCCTCGCCGCTGGCCTGCGGGGTGCACGACTTGGCCAACACAATGGTCCTTGAGGACGACGGGCGCGGCTGGCTTCGGTACTACCCTCAGGCGCATCGCCTCCGCACCAACCGGTTCAACTGCATCGTCACCGCCTTCACCATCAAGCTTCAAGACTATGCCAGTACGTACTCCCCCCCCGCCGTACCTCATTCCTTCGTCCCGCTTTAGCTATGGTACACTCTTCATTGCTAACCATGACTATCACTGTAATCGGCATCAACATCATCATTCGGTCAGCCCTTGTATCTGCTGAGCTGCGCTACGACGGCGACCTCAACAACGGCGCTAACCCGATACCCGGCGATCTGGTGCCCCAGGGCGACCAGTTCCACCCTGTGCCCGTCAACAACGGGGATGGCACCTACACCTTCTACACCACCGCCAGGCCCGGCCTGGTTCTGCCCACGACGGATTTCTACTGGCTCGTGGTCTCGTTCACGGTGGACCAGGACTCGGACGGCGTGCTGTTTGGGTGGACTGGGCCGACGAACGATGAGATCACAGTCGACTATGCCTTCTACAGCATCTCACCCGGCACATACGAGGTGCGCTCGCAACGGACAGCCAAGCTCAAGCTGCTCGGCTGCTGCGATGCGCTGCCTTCGCCCACGGCCTCGATCACTCCCACGCCCTCGCCTTCCCGAGTGTCGGCCTCCCCGACCCCCACCCAGACCCCGAGCTCCACGCCGTCGTCGTCGCCAAGCTCCTCATCGACGCCCAGTTCAACGCCCTCGGCCTCGGCCACGCCGTCGTCGTCGCCCAGCGCCTCAGCAACGCCCAGTTCAACGCCCTCGGCCTCGGCCACGCCGTCGTCATCGCCCAGCGCCTCATCGACGCCCAGTTCAACGCCCTCGGCCTCCGCCTCGCCGTCGCCGTCGCCCAGTGCGTCGCCCTCGGCATCGGCCACGCCATCGTCATCTCCCAGCGCCTCATCGACGGCCAGTTCAACGCCCTCGGCCTCGGCCACACAATCGCCATCGCCCAGCGCCTCAGTGACGCCTAGTTCAACGCCCTCGGCATCGGCCACACCATCGTCATCGCCCAGCGCCTCAGCGACGGCCAGTTCAACGCCCTCGGCATCGGTCACGCCATCGTCATCGCCCAGCGCTTCATCGACGCCCACTTCAACGCCCTCGGCCTCCGCCACGCCGTCGTCGTCGCCCAGTGCGTCGCCCTCGGCATCGGCCACGCCATCGTCCATCGCCCAGCGCCTCAGCGACGCCCAGTTCAACGCCCTCGGCATCGGTCACGCCATCGTCATCGCCCAGCGCTTCATCGACGCCCACTTCAACGCCCTCGGCCTCCGCCACGCCGTCGTCGTCGCCCAGTGCGTCGCCCTCGGCCTCGGCCACGCCATCGTCCTCTCCCAGTGCCTCGTCGTCGCCATCGATCAGCGGCACAACCAGTGCGACGCCTTCGCCGGCCTCTCCGTCGGCCACGCCCTCGACCTCTCCGTCGGTCAGCGTTACGCCCAGTGCGACGCCTTCGCCGGCCTCACCGTCGGCCACGCCCTCTACTTCCCCGTCAAGCAGCGGCACGCCCAGTGCTACGCCATCTCTGGCCTCCCCGTCAGTCAGCAGCACGCCCTCGACCTCCCCGTCGCTCAGCGGCACGCCCAGTGCGACGCCTTCGCCGGCCTCCCCGTCGCCCACGCCCTCGACCTCCCAATCAGTAAGCAGCACGCCCAGTGCCACGCCTTCGGCCTCCCCGTCTGTCAGCCGCACGCCCTCGGCCTCCCCGTCGCCCACGCTTTCGGCCACCCCGTCGATCAGCGGCACGACCAGTGCGACGCCTTCGCCGGCCTCTCCGTCGGCCACGCCCTCGACTTCTTCGTCGATCAGCCGCACGCCCTCGACCTCCCCTTCGATGAGCGTTACGCCCTCAACCTCCCAGTCGCCCACACCCTCGCGCTCGCCCTCGGGCTCAAACTCGCCCACACCGTCGGTCACCACTAACGTCTCGCGCTCGCGCACTCCCAGACCGACCGCCAGTTCCACGCCGTCGTTCTCGCCCTCCACATCGCCCTCGCCCTCGGTCTCGCCCACGCCATCGACGTCGCCCTTCGCCCTTCCGGTCGCCATCAAGCCGGGCGAGATCTTCACCAACGGCCCGCCAGACGTCGAAGTCGTTTCCATGAGCACCTCGCAGACCACGTCGAGCACCCAGTGCGCGGGCAATATCGTCGTGGGCCTGTCGGGCACCGGCATCAGATTCTCCTACTTCATCCGACTCACCGGTGCCGCCGCCGCCGGGACCACGACGGTCGTGGCCTACGTCATCGACATGTCTACGGGCAACACCCTGGCCCAGGTGGACGTCACGGCGGGCATGCCGACCGCGGCCAACGACTCCTTTACCGAAGTGACCGCTCAAGCGTCATCGTCATCAAGCCTGGTGGCGCTCAAGTCGTATTGGCTGCCGTTCTGCTTCACCACCACCACGGTGACGACTCGCGGCTTGGCCCGGGCAGGAGAGCTCGATCGGCCTCGGAGGCGTGGCGTCCAGCGGCGGCAAGACCACTGTGGGCTTCTGCTCGGGCGGCCCACCATGCCTGGCCGCCGTCCAGGAGGGCAGCCTGGCCACTGCGATCTCGCGCACAGACACGAGCGGCGGCGGCGACAGCGACAACACGGTTGCGATTGCAGTGGGCGTGGCGGTGCCGGTGGCGCTGGTGGTGGCGGGGCTCGTGGCCGGCGTGGTGGCCTACATCGCCTACACGCGGGCCAGGAGCCGACTGGGGCAGTTGCCGCCGGCGCGCCGGCGCAGCTCGCTGCTGAGGCAGACTCCGCTCGAGCGCGAAGTGCAGCGGTTGCACGAGAACGACATGTTCGAGCTGGAGCCCATCTCGCGGGAACAGCAGCGCAAGCTCCACAGGGAGTCGTGGATGAGCGCTTGATTGTAGGTCGCAAGACCTTTGCAGCCCACTTGTGGACTTTTTCCTCCAACGTTCTTTACATGAAGATGAGGGAGGAGGGCCTCTTCTAGGCGTTCGTGCGGCACAAACGGCACACGGGAAGAGCTTGCGCGCGGGAGTGGTTGAGCACTCGAGTCTGCTTGATCACGCACTGGCCGCAGAAAATGCCGCCGCAGACTCGACAGTGGTGTCGGCGGTTGAGGAACGAGAAGCCCGTCTTGCACTCCATGCACTCTTGCACCTGATCGCATTCCAAGCCACATTCCTCATGGTGTAAGGAATGCTGTGCATGAATGCCAAACATTTTGTTGTGGTATTGGGGGTCGAGAGAGTACCGAGTCGTCGGGCAGCCAGGCCACGAGGCCGTCGTCGGTCGTCGGCTGGCGCGAGCCGTGGTTTCGCGGGTGCTGGGGCGAGGCGGCGTACTTCTCCAGCCACTTCACCGCCGCGGCCACACCGTCCGGATCCTTGCGCAGACTGGCGGCCACCGCCTGCGCTCGCAGGGCCATCTCTGCGACACAGGCCAAGCAGGTCAAATCAACCAAACTCGTGTGGTGGTGCGTGTGCGATGGTGCGTGTGAGGTGGTGCGTGTGCTGTGGTGCGTGTGCGCCATGCGCCGCGTGGTTACCTTCACCAGAAGCGGCCAGTATTTGAGACTCGAGGTTGTCTCGTGTGAGCTTCTTCAGCGGAATGGCCAATTGCGGTCCGGCGCCCAGCGCGGCCACCTGTGGCCAACAAAAAACACCATCAATCAGCCCATTATGTCGTCGAGGAGGTCCCAGGGCAGAGAGAGAATTGTTGCAATCGTACGCGGCTGGCCCAGAAGGGCTGGTCCATGAGCACGGGGAAGACGACGCTCGGCACGCCGGCCCTCAACGCCGCCGCCGTCGTGCCCGCGCCTCCGTGGTGAATGATCTGTGGCGATACCAAGTGGTGGGTTTGAATTAAGGTGGCGGTGGCGGTGGCGGTGGCGGCCAGCGATTAAGGTGGCGGCGTGAGTACGATGGAGCAGCGAGGGAAGAGCCATTCGTGAGGGAGGTCGGGCAGGAGACGGACGTGGGTCTGCCCGGCGAGAGCCTGGGCGACCTTGGCCTTCTCCTGCGACCAGCCCAACTGCACCACACCTCGCCGGTTGAGCTTCTTGAGAACCTCACAAAAGTCCAGCGCCAGTTCCTGGTCGGACCACAAACCAACCTCCCATCAGCATTCCTCTGTCGTGTGGCATGAGTGTGTCATGTGCGTGTCGTGTCGTGTCGTGTCGTGTCGTGTCGTGTCGTGTCGTGTCGTGTCGTGTCGTGTCGTGTCGTGTCGTGTCGTGTCGTGTCATGTGTCGCGTCGTGTGTTGCGTACGGTTGCATTCTTGAGTGGCATGGAACCAAAGCCCATGTAGACAGGTGCGTCGCCCTCGTCAAGGAAAGACTCGAGTTCCTAAAAGATATCCACATGTCAGGGTCAGCTCCACGACCGAATTGGTCTGGCGCAGAGGAGGTCGTCCACGGTACCAGCGGAGGCTCGTATTCGCGCTTTTGTTCAGGTCCCAGTAGCCGGTCACTTCGATCAGATCAACCGGCCAGTCATGTGGGTAGGGCACCACCTGGTTGAGAGAGCGGGGCAGAAATCTTCAACAAACGTGCGGTGGTGGTGGTGATGTGTGCGGTGATGTGATGGTGGGAGAGTGGGACCTGTTCGCTGTAAAGACAGAGCTGCGGCGCGGCATCGACCACGTAGCTCTCCTGCTTGGCGAGCCCCAGCGAGGCCCTGAACTTGTTGATGTTGCCCGAGAGGAACGACCACAACACTGTTCCGCCCCACATTGTTTGCATTCCTCACATTCCGACCACTCACCACCACTCACCACACAACACACCACACAACACGCACGACACATTCACGACACACGCACGACACACACGACAACGTACGTTTGAAGGTAGCCCATTGGGCAAAGGAGTTGAGGAAGCCGAGAGGCAGGGGCTTGGCCACGGCTGTGACGGGCGCCCACTCGCTGGTGGGGTAGATGGGCAGGGTGCAGGCCGCCACGACCGGCACGCGCAGCTTCTGGCCCACGGCCAGCACCTCGGAGAGGGTGGTGATGCCGGTGAGGATGAGGTCCGGCCTGAACTGCTTGGCCGCTTCCCACACGCGGTGGTAGTTGGGCTCCGTCCATTCCTTCGTCTCCTCCAGCATCACGTTCATCTGCTCCTGCATTCCTGTTGGGCAACTTTTGCGTGAGTGTCACTCACACCGCACACACCGCACATACCGCACACACCACATACAACCACACGCACGCACCTCCTTCGTAGAAGGCTTTGACGAACTGGGGCGAGTTGACGATGGCGGCAGGGTTGCCGAGCAGCGGGAAGAACTCCACTTGGTGCGTGTGCTCCGCTACGAACTCCGCGAACGCCTCGCTCGCCACGAACCCCACCACCCACCCAGCCGACTGCATAGCCTTGGCTGTACAAATAAGTCAGTTTAACTCCTTGTGTTTTAAAAATGTTCAAATAATAATAATAATAATCATTATGAGAAATAGTACTGAGGGCAACGTAGGGCTGAAGGTCGCCGCGGGTGCCGATGGTGACAATGAGGAACCGCTTCTCACTGCCATCGCCGGAAGCGCTGATGCCGGCGTCCTCCCGTTGTTCGGCCTCGTCTTCACCCCAGGGGTTGTCGCCGTAAGACCCCAGAACCACCTTCTCTTTGCCCTTGGTGTCTCGCTCTTCAATTGGTACCTCCATCCTCTGTCTGGTTGAAACGTTCTTCAATGAGGAAACGCAACCAGACCAAAGCCAACAGTTTTTCTCAGTTGGAAAGTTCAATCGCTATTTCGCTCTCTAGACTTTTCGTTAGCCTTTCTCGCTCTGTAGCTGGCCTGTGTGGTGGTCAGGGAGTTTGGCCGCGGAGAACGGCGAACACGCCCAGGTGATCGGAGGGGAAGATGTCCTTGCCGGCGCCCCTGGTGCCAATGGACTCGGCGCCCACAGTCCGCACTTCCTGCACGCACCAGGTCGACGATGACGACGATGAAGACGATGACGATGACGATGATGTCGACCGATAGAGGATTCGGTCATATCGGCTGGGTCGTGATCGCGGTCTGGGGTAGTTGATGCCGATGGTGTGGCCCGGCTCGTCGGGTCGCAGAGCGTTCCATGTGTCCACGTAGTCCTTGCTCACTCCCTGTTTGGGGCCAAACAAGAGGAGGTGAGCTGAGAAACGAAGAGCACTGGAGACTGGAAAGCACCTCTTCTTCTCCTTTGGCGCCGGCTGGGAAGTTGAAGTCGCCGGTGATGATGCGCAACTCGACTTGGTCGTCATCATCGCGGTCGTCCAAGAGGCGAAACATCTTGGCCAGCTGGGCTTTGCGCAGAGGCGGGCTGAAGCCATCAAAGTCTCGGCTCTCCAGGTGCGCTGTGCACACACGCACCTGACACCGCAGCAGCTGTGAGTCAGGCTTGCTGCGATGCACTACACGAACGTTGAGCTGCTAAGATGGAAGGGAGTGGTCGCCGGGTGCCTTATGTCCGTCGGCGTTGATCTCAGCCAGCAGCGCATTCCGCTGCATGAGCGAATGCGTCTCGTGCAACTCGAGACGCTCGAAGGGATAGCGCGACAACATGGCCACGCCATAGGGCTCGACCGTCTTCAGTACCGTCCCATCCTGAAAGAGAGTTCCAAAGCAAAAGAAAATGTGAGGACACATGAACGCGCATAAGAGATGTGGATATGCGTCGCACGTCGGCGTCGAGCATGTGGTAGTTTTGGTTGAGCCACGGATGCCGCTTCAGAGCCAGTGCGAATTGCTGGGTGACCTCCTGAAGGCACACCACCTGCGATGGCACACGCACGCACGCACACACACACGCACACACACGCACGCACACGCACACGCACATAAACACGCACAAATAAACATACACACGCAACACGCACACAGTGCTACATGTGAGGCAAGACAACGGCGAAGTGTGTGTGTATATGTACTGTGGGCTGCAGGCGCTCGATGATGCTGGCCACGGCGTCGAACCGTAGTTGCCAATCGTCCAAGTCGAACCACACATTGTACGTCAACACTGAGATCGCCAACAGCCCTCCTGCGTCCGCATCGCCACCTTTAAAGCTCTTGTCAGAGAAAGAATGAGAACAAGAAGAAGAAAAAAGAAGGGAGGAACCGGATGAGGGTGCTGCTGGCTTGGGCGGGGACGAGTGGGCAAGAGGCAGGACGTGGTCAACCCTCTTGTCCAAGTAGGTGCGAAGCGGTCCCGACATCTTCAGCGCAAAGGTATTAATACCTTTAATTTATTTCTGCAAGCTTAACTCATTTCTTAATTAATTTCTTATTGTGCTGAATTATCCACCGGAGTTTTTCCAACCAGTGAACTGATAAGAGAGAGGTTCCAAAAAAGGTAGAGCCTCCAAAAGGAAAGGCTCCCAAAAAGCACACAGCAAAACATAAGCTCTCACCAGACACAAGCTAAGAAGAGGAAACGGATCGAGGACACCTGGCGAGAGGACGATGGAGGGCCAATTTTCAAGGATGGCGCTCGCGCTCTTCTACTACTCTCTTCTCTCTTTTCTCCCAGTCCTTCTTTGGTCACCCACCCACGCGCAACAAATGTCAGCAGCTAAGAGCTGTCTCGACATCGAACCAATCACAGACCGATTGATCATCACCTCCGTCGATCCAGGAGATGATACGTCAGCCAGCCTGGCATTTTTCGTCGAGGAGGAGTCTCGCATTCATCAGATCACTGTCGCCTCCTCAGGTAATCCCCCCCTCCAATCCCATTTAGTGCTTGTTTGAAATCTCATCTTTCCTGAGTGGTAGAGCTGACAATTATACGCTGAACAGTACCCATCGATCGACTTACAATTTTGTCGCCTCACGGTCGAGAGGCCACCTTCAGCCGGGTCTCCTTCGACCACTCCACAACTGCTGCTGAGCGCAGTAGCGATAGCTTCAGATTTTCCGCTGACCTCGCTGAGGGGGTCCTTCTGGAGGTCCACACCCGCTACTCGCTGCGACCGTCGGCCGACGGAGAGCAACGCCACGACCGCCAGCTCGATCCGAACTCCGGTGCGACGGCCATCCGCATCATCGACGTGCAAGGATGTGGCACCGACCACGCGCAGCTGCAGCTGGTGCTGCAGCAGCAGCAACCGACGACCTCGGACGGGCTGGGCGTGACATCGACTTCTAACTCGACGCTCCACCTCGAGAGTTCAATCCAGCAGCGCTCACTCTCTAAGCGAGCCCAGTATATCCCGTGCCAGTTGCTGGGTACATCGTACGACGTTGGTGGATCGGCGGGTCTCATTAGTAGTACCGAAGGGATCACAGCCCAGAAGTTCAAAGTCATGAGCGACGCTCTGCGCGTCATGTCAGTCACCATCTCCCTGGGCAACACCGGTGGTGCGTCTGCCCTTCATCTGTTGTTTTCTTTTAGCTATTTATTCTTGGCTTTATTAATAAGAGTGAATTGTTGGCAGTGCCCCTTGGCCCGAGTCAGGTCCTATTGCTGGAGGTCTGGGACAACGAGAACGTAGGCTTCGAACGACCCTCCAGCCCCAAAGCCAACGCTCAATTCGTGATTCCCGGCGCCACCACCTCCGTGGCGTATCCGGGCGTGCCCGGCGGCAGCTACACGTTCTACCCCGTCGACTCGGCGGGCATCCGACTGGTCATAGGCAGCTACTGGCTGGTGGTCCGGACCAGCGGGTTCCCGGCCCACCACACCGCCAGCGGCCCGTTCCCCGATGAGGAGCCCGTCGTGGTGGTTTACGAATCAGTCTTGCAGCAGGAGGCGGGGGTCTGGGGACCAGTAGGCACCACTGGCACCACGCTGGTGGGGTTCAGCGGCTGCACCGTCGAACCAGGCGAAACCTGCGCGAGCGAGCTGTCGATGTTCACTCTGCCCTCCGTGAGCGGGATGATCACCGACAGCTTGCTGGCCCAGAAATTCTACACGCACAGCAACACCCGTCTACTATCGGCCAGCATAGGCATGGGCGGATTCGGTACCGAATTGCCAACCACGCGCTACACGCACAACACACACGTCGACACACGTCACGCACAGTATTCCACTTACACAAAGCGTCGTTCATGTTCCCAGGTGACTTGTCGTGCTGCATTTCATCGATGAGCATCTACACGCACAACGCGACCGCCGACTTACCCGGCGCTCCGCTGGGTAACAGCGCGGGCTTCAATACTATGGATCCTGTCGGGGGCGTCAGCTTCGGGTATGCCCAAGGCGGGCGCTACCGGTACCCGGCCTCCGACCCGGGCGGCATCGAACTGGCGCCCTATACCCAGTATTGGCTCGTCCAACAAATCTCGGCTGTTGCCCTGCTCACCGTCAACAGGTACGACACCCAGCCGGAGGTGGGTTCGTTCGAAGTGCTGGGGAGCGTGGCCAAGCACTACCCGGAGGGGTGGAGCTCGCATAACCGAAAAGCACTCGTGGGCTTCGAGACCTGCGCCTACACGCCGTCGCCGTCGCCGTCCGCCTCGCACAGCCCGAGCCCGTCCTCCTCACCAACCAGCACGCCATCGTCTTCCCCGTCGCCGTCCACCTCGCCCACCAAATCGCCGTCCAACACGCCATCGCCTTCCCCGTCGCCGACCACCTCGCCTACTAACTCGCCGACCAACACACCATCGCCTACCAACTCGCCGTCCACCTCGCCCACCAACTCGCCGTCCAACACGCCATCGCCGACCACCTCGCCGACCACCTCGCCGACCACCTCGCCCACCATCTCGCCCACCACCTCGCCGACCACCTCGCCCACCACCTCGCCCACCACCTCGCCCACCACCTCGCCCACCACCTCGCCCACCACCTCGCCGTCCACCTCGCCCACCAAATCGCCGTCCAACACGCCATCGCCTTCCCCGTCGCCGACCACCTCGCCTACTAACTCGCCGACCAACACACCATCGC